GACACAATGTCTCAATGCCAGGAGCCAGCTTCTTTTTTGGCTCTCCAGGCTAAATGCCACTGTGGTCAATGCAGCGTTTTTGTGACTTTGGGCTGTGTCGCCACAGAATCTGGCCCGTGGAATAGAGTATGGGCTGGACTGCCCCGAGCAGCTTGTGAGAGCTCTGTTGTTCGGGAACCTGCCAAATGAAATGATATACAATTCAAAATGTGTGTGCGCGCGTATTATATGCACAATCTAAATGCATTTTGGGGATATATCTAGATAGATAGAGAGAGAGAGAGAGAGAGATACATGGATGCATGGATGGATGGATGGATGGATATCTGTGGAGATGGATGGATAGATAGATGGATGGATAGGTAGATGGATAGATATCTGTGGAGATAGATAGATAGATAGATAGATAGATAGATAGATAGATAGATAGATAGATAGATATCTGTGGATATATATACATATATATATAGAGAGAGAGATATCTGTCGAGATAGATAGATGTAGATATCTATCTACATCTATCTCCACAGATAGCTATCTAGATATCTATCTATATCTATCTCGACAGATATCTAGCTAGAGATCTAGCTAGACATCTAGAAGATATAGATAGATAGATAGATATAGAGAGAGAGAGAGAGATCTGTGGAGATAGATAGATGTAGATATCTGTCTACATCTATCTAGATATCTATCTATATCTATCTCGACAGATATCTAGCTAGAGATCTATGTCTATATTTATAGCTATCTATCTAGATCTAGAGTTTCACTCAGCAGTGTATATATCAATACGTTTTGGGGATATTTCAGCTGTGCTCTTTCCCAAACGAAAAGCAGGAGATGGTTAAAGTTCTCACCTAATGCCCAGTCTACATCTCCCCGTTCCCCTTTTTTAATACCTGATACTACACCAGCAGCAGGGTGGGCAGTGCTAGCTGCAGAGGCCTTCCAAAATCCAGAGGTGCTTTTGGTTCCTATGTCTGCATTTTAGCCCAGGATTGGGTTGCTTTAGAAATGGATACATTTATTGATCTGAGCTCTGCAGTTAAGCTTTCTTGGTTTAAAGAAATATTACCACTGTCCTTGAAGTTTCGGAGAAGAATGGTGTAAAATCATCTTAGTAAAAATAAACCCAGTTATACTTCAAAATAATTTGTTGCCAGTCCTTGTAAATTGCCAGTATTTACACCAGCTAACATGACGGCCCCGACTAGCAGCCATGGTGTGGTAGGAAAATTCATTCTTGTAATTCCACTGGGATTGTATTTGTCTCTTGCAAAGGTGGCATCCAGGCATGCGACCTTGAGCAGTGAAAAGTTCACTTCGTTGCATAGATGCTTTATTTTTGCTGTTTTTGAAGGCTTCTCAGTTGAGTATTCATCTGTTTTTCTCCTTCCATTGTTCAGGGTGAAGATGGCTTCCCTGGCTTCAAAGGAGATATGGGAATCAAGGGAGACCGGGTGAGTGTTTGGTGATGCGTGGCCGGGTGGTTGGGTCCTTCCTTTTCAGTGCCCAACACTGGGATGCAATGAAGATGGTTCTTTAGACACATTAGGATTCAGAGAGGAGATATCCCGTAGCAGCCGAGTGAAGGGCAGACCTGAGACGGCAGGGGCAGGGATTTGCAAGTCCTTCACAAGTATTGCAATCATGATGCTCAGTCCCTATGCAGTGAACGCAGTAGGCCTCTTATCACATCTTCCAACACCAGCACAGCTTGTCCATTTGGGGCTCCCTTTGTAAGTGCATGGTGGGTTCTGTCCCAGGGAAAGGATGCCAAGATGCCTCAAAAGTCATTACCCGTGCCTGTCCCAGGAAGGGTTGGTAGACACATCCTCTGACTCCACTTGAACTAACTCAAGAGTTAGATCTGCTCCATGGGGACTGCCTCATGGGATTGCTGTTTCCTTCTGCTGCATTTTGTTGGTACAGGTATCCCAGAGCTCCAGCCCCCGTGGACTCCAGTGGGTTATTTATCCTTAACCTCTCCAGTCCCATACTGTGAGGACAATAAAAATTTAGTAACACAGGGCACATGCTTGCACTCCTGGGAATCCAGGGTTGAGCTGTATCTGGTACAGTTATTTCCATTTGCTAAGCCTGCTGTGCTTCCATCCCATCAGAACAAAGTGTAAAGCTACCAGGCTTTAATACAAGCAGGAACAGGGCAATTAAAACCACCAAGGGTGTAGTATCTTATTGCACTCATCTCTTTAGCAGCACGGCACACTGACTGCTATCTGCAGCTTTTAAAAGCCTCTGTCCGACCGGAGGCCTGGAAAAACAAAATGATGCTTGATGCAGGCAGCAGCTGCAGCACACAACTGGATGGGATCGGCCTGTTGGGAAGTGGGCTAGTCAGCGTGCCATTTGAGTCGTCGTCTTTATGGAGGGCTGTGTTTCCCTGTAACTTTCTGAACTGCAAAGCTGCTGTTAGCTTGGTGTTTCATTGATGGGCATTAGGGTATAAAAACTGAAGTCGGTACATCTCCGTACACTAGAGAACAGTAATTTGTCACATGGTTAAAACAAAGAACAGCTCCTTGCTTAATGGCTTGCAGAAAGACAAATCAAAGTCTGTTTCTCCCAGTGTTTAAACACCCTGTTGCGCTGCGCCAAGGTCCGCGTTCTGTGCATCATTTCCAAGCTGACCTCTTGAAAGCTTTGCCAACCCTGCCGTCTTTTCTGAGATGAAATTCACATTGTTGGAAATCAGGATGAAAGCTTTGCACCTCAGGAAGATAGCTCGTATGTCCTTGGCAAACACAGACACGCAGAAGCCATTCTAGCAAACCCCCCGCCCTTGCTTCCCACTAACAAGGTCTTTTGCTTTTATTTTATAATAATAAACATGCCGAGCTCCTTGAGGATGAGGGGCTGCTTGAATATCTGGCAGATAAATCGGATGCCTTCTAGGTTACTTTTGAATGAAACAGCAGGCAGCCTGTGTTTTCACTGGGAACCTCTATAGTAACCCTAGTTGGCAAGACAGTGATTTCACTGTTTTGTGGTTTGAAGATTGTATTTATTAGAAATACTCAAACTAATAGCTTAGCCAGTCCCATCTCTGTCTGCTTTCCTAACAGTTTTCAAGGCTGAGACTTTTGTTCCAGTCTTTTATTCTGCAATTTTAAAGCCTGGCCCTGAATTAAAACACCTCCCCAGGTTCGCATGCACATAAACCCATGATTTAGGGACCAGAAAGCAGAAACAGGGGTCCACAGTGATCAGAGCTAATGAAAGCTTTTTCATTGGAGGGGTGCTGGATGTAGGCAGGATAATTGGGGTGTAGGAAAAGAGTGCTGTGCTTGGAAATAATAGCCAGGCTATATGAACAAAAGCCTCTTGGCTGCTCTAATAGCAGTCTATAATTTCCTCAATAACAGTCTCACCTGAGAAGTTACTGGGTAAAGGTCTAACTTCTCCATGAGCCTTTTTTTTAGCAAAGCCAAGGTGAATGGGAGTTTTCCTTCATGTACATACTACTGCCAGCCTCGGGTATTTGCACTGGGGGGCAATGATGGGCACGAGATGGCAGGAGGTGCTGCTTTCACTGATGTCTTTCTCTTGAATGACAGGGTGAAATCGGTCCTCCTGGACCAAGGGGTGAGGATGGCCCTGAAGGTCCTAAAGGTCGTTCTGGTCCTAATGGAGATCCAGGTCCACTTGGCCCTTCTGGAGAAAAGGTACGTGTCTTAAGTTGAGATTGTCCCTCAGATGGGTCATCAAAGCAGATAAGGGGCAAAACCAACCCTGTTCTGGAATATGTTGTATCACCCATTTTTCCCCGGATAAGCTCTGGAGGGCGAGGAAGGGAACATGACGGTGGGATTCATGAGTTGGGGATGGAAGAGGCTATTTTTAGAAAAGGTCAGTGAGATCATTTGTGGGAAAAGTCTCTGGTTTGTTCAAAGGCTTGGGACCAACCTAGAGTTGCTTTATACATACAGAAGAGACTGTGGCGCTGCTCTGTGTTGGCCTGGGCATGTTCAGATATTGCCCCCTCCGGGCTCCTGTGCCTGATGAGCAGAGCCAGAGTTTTTGAGGGTGTTTTGTCAAAAAAAAAATCTCATTTAACAGAAAGCAAAAGTTGATGTGGAAAAATTGGTTTTGACGGAAAAGTTCAGGTTGCGGTTGGATCCCCAAACTGGAAATATTTGGGGTTGGAGTTGGATTTCTTTATGAAGACCTAGTCTTCATTTTCTTGAATGCTCACGTGATGAACATTTCCCGAATAGCAGATTTTGGTGAGGACAGAGCCATTTCCAGTACTCGGCTCACACCTAAGAAGGGGTTTGGTGGTAATATCTCTGTCGGATCCTCAGCTGCACTTCACGCATGATCTGCTCAGATCCCTTCTGACCCTACCAACTATGAAACTATGTGATCTGCTCGCTCTTCTGATCCTCTTCTAAGTTCAACCTCATTCGTTTTGCTTAATACAAGCTGCGATAGATCCCATGTGCATGCTGAAGCAGTGGCACAATACAGACTTAAATTCTTAAATTTGGACACTTACCTTGTTGCGATCATTTGACCCCTGCTGACTTCTGGCACCTGGGGCGGGGGGCTGGACCCGATGATCTTGCAAGGTCCCTTGCAGCCCTAATGTCTATGAAATCCATGAAATCTCTTGTGTATTTGGTTACAGGGCAAACTCGGTGTTCCAGGTTTACCGGGATATCCAGGAAGGCAAGGTCCAAAGGTAATATTTAGTTTATTTTTAACAATCTTCTGTGCAGGCAAGATGCTGATGAGGAGACAAAGAAAGAAGGCTAAATGGCTCTTTCCTGTCTTAGGGTACCTCGAAAGGGCTAGATCCTTGCCTGGTGAGAATCGGGGTACCACCACTGGCTTCTGTTAGATTTGGCCCTGTGCAGTACACGCCTTTTTGAAGTTGGTACCATAAATTACACCGTGGTTGCATTACAGGCAACTGGGATGCTCTCTTTCAAAGGGAGGGGGAGACCGATTTCAAGCTGGACAAATCTCCCGTAAGCAAATAACCATTTGCCAGGTTTACAAGATAGAAAAAACGGCGAGCTGTTCTGGGTGAATTTTTCCATTGCCTTATGCCTCATGTAGGCACTTACATCCAAACCAAATGAGAGGAGATGCGAGTCAACCCCTCCGCCAGTGGCTACAAGCAACCCTGGAACAAGGGAACTTAAGTCTCACGCTGGGTTTTTACCTTTCAAGCAGAGCTTGCCCGAGATTTAAGAGGATGGTGTAGGCGACTGAATAAATGGTTTTATTTATTCTCCCATCCTTTACGTGGGAGAAATATATACAAGTGTGTGCAAGTAGGGCCAGATCTGCTGCTCATCTAACTGGGTCACAGAACTTAAATTATTGATCTTAATTCTCCTTATAGACTTGGATAATGTTGAGAGAGAGACTTGGAAGGGAGGAATGGGAAATGAAAGGAGTGTGAGCCACCACCCTTTAGGGATCTGCACGAGCCCTTTGATATGCGCACATATACGTCATCAAACGGCGTGTGAGCTTCTAGCTTAGCAACAATAATAAAGCTCAGGCTCCTGTATTAAGCTTTACATCTTCAAAGCTCTGATCTGCTCTTAACTAATTAATTAAGGAGAATAACTTATGAGTCAGTGTCTCAAAATTAAAGTAAAAGTGCCACTTGCAGGATAGCAAACATCCTTTGTACCTTATCTACCCACCCACCTTGATTTGGGCCATTGTCAAATGTTCTTTTTAAAATTAAAACTGAGACCTCCCCCTCCACAGAACAAAAAGCTGCAGCCTGGTTGTGTCATGCCCTGGAGGCTGGGGAAACTTATGTTTTTGTTAACATAATTTTTTTTCCTTAAGAATCATTTTTTATTATTCATGTTTATTGCTTGAAAAACCAGCTTGTTTGACACTGGAGACATAATTAACCACAAAAGATTGTTTCCTGGTTGTGGTGGTGGTGATTTATTTTTTAATTTGCATTTTATGTCTGGGTTGTTTGAGGGGGGGGTTTTTTGCATTTCTTTAGCTAATTCGTATTTTAGCAACAGCAACAGAGCGACTCTGCAGGCAGTTGTGTCAGAACAAAAAAAGCTAAGGGCAGATGTCTCAGAGTGACTAAGTGGTGTAGCAGCCACTTGTATCCAAGTCCTGTTTTCAAAAGCAGAGAGGGACAGGTTTTAAAATGACAGAGGTGCCTAAAGATCCTGAGCAGCACTTGATGAGCTGCTGTACAGTGTTTTCCCAGACTCAGACCCCTGCTTTACATGCCAAATTCTGAAAACAGCTTACGTACAAATTAAATCCACAGAGGAAGGAGGGAGGGGCGTGGAAGGGGACTCATCATAGCCAACAAGAAGCCTGTTATTCAGGCCATGGGGTCTGGCAGGCCCTGAGAACAGATTTTTTCATTGCATTGCAACATGGGATGCCCAAAGCCTATACGCACCCAAGGAAGGGCTCCCACGGATATCCATAAACCTGATGCAAGGGCCCCCACGTTACTCAGTGCCACGTGCCGTCTCGCGGAATGGGCTAAAGTCCGGGAATTCGCACCAAACCCTATTAGTTGAGAATCCAGCTCTGCATCTAGAATAATAGCCCGGAGCATAGCACAATGGCAATTTGGCAAGCTCACCTAAGCCTTCCTCTTTTATGTCTCTTCCCCCAGGGCTCCATCGGATTTCCGGGGTTCCCAGGAGCCAACGGCGAGAAGGGCACAAGGGTAAGAGTGACTTTGCTGGGCTGTGTTACTTTCTTCCTTATGGAGTACCAGGTCATAGTAAAATCCTTGCAGATCTTATGGCCATGAGGCTACCAAGGGAGAAGCGTGAGGAAACCGAGCGTCGGTGCATGGAAGTGCAGGACTGGAGCTGGGAGGGAGGAGCAGAACAGCGCAAGCCAGATTGCTAATAGAGGTCGCAGCACGGGGCCTTAATGGAAACTAAATGAATCTCCTTCGGCTGGGACCGAGCCCTTGTGTCTCTCAGTTTGGGAGCTGGCAGTGAGAAAGGGAGGCACTAATAGACTCCCTTCTCCCTGCCGCCCACCTGCCTCAAACATAATCCCTCTCCGTTCCATTTCCAGCCCCCTAATGG